GATTTATAATAATTCACTATTGGGTGTATCCAAGATGTCTGAAAACAAAAATATGCAAATTATGCGCCAATTATCAAAATAATATAAGCCTCATCGTAGTAGTACGCTGTGATATTGTTATTGCGTTTCGTATATTATAAGATAATATTAGATAATATCATACATTACGATATTATGTGTTTTATCATTTCGGATATTTACTCAGATTCGCTTTTATTGCGTATAATGTATACATTCGTACATCGCATATTATACAATATTATACCTATTATTCATGTAATAATATAGGTCAACGACATTGGCATTGCGCTGGAGAGCCAATCAAATAACAATGGTTGTATATAAGGCGGTACACACACACACACACACACAAATTACAATAACATTATGCGCACCGTTGAGGCGGTTTCCAAAACAAAACGGCGCTGCGGCGTTTTCAGGTGATATACTACATCTCCGAAATATAAATTATTTTCTCCGTTTCCCGTTGTAATAATATTTGTACGTTTTGATCAAATGAAAACATCAGCTCCGCCTGTATACGCGGATATGCGGGACGACTGTCTCGGCAGAACGTTTGCGAATTAATGTCAGCTGCCATTGTTAAAAACAATAGCTGTCGGTCGCCGCGCGCGAGATAGATTAAACGGCGGCGTCGGGACGGCTCGTTCTCCAACCCTCCCTCCGAACCGCGGCCAATCCGACCACCGCCACGACGCCCGCCAAACTTTTGAATCGATCGGTCGTTCCACCACGAACGTTTATCGTTTTACCAATGTTTATAACGAAGAGAATATACGCGTATCAGGTCCGTCACCGCCTTTGCGATAATAATAAGCAATATCGTAAACACACTCGCAAACGCGAGCGCGCGCTATCTCGTTTCGTCAGTCGTTTTTCACGATAACAAGTTGCACGACACGGCTGTATAATAATAATAATAATAATATAAGGTATGATAATGTACGAGTACTGAAGTTGTGGGTAGATTCGAACGAAAAATCATCGGTTCATAATTTTAGTGCAATTACACTTTGTCAAATAAATAATGAAATGCGTACGGAAACATTAATCCCCTAACAAAAACTATTATCGTCGATAGTAGAATTCCGCAACGCAATTAGACTAATTTATTCCCAACAGAGCTTCAGCAAGGGGTAAATCAGCCTTGCGATAATTTTTTATGAGCACCTATACCAAATATTATTTTATGCAGAGAAAACGGACAAAAACGTTATACATATATAGAAGTCGTGTATCGTATGAGAATGCTGTTATGATTTTGTTTTCATAATTGTGTACTAGTAGCAATGAAAAAAAAAAAATGATTTTTCTGAAGAGTGCTAAGTCTATGATGTATATTTTACGCTATAAATACAAATAGAAATGTAATATCTAAAGTTATATAATAAATGTGAACTTTCTATATGACTTTCATATTTTTATTTTTTGACATTCACTAAAGTCAAGCCATTTTTTTTTTTAATGTATTAATTTATTATTCATCAAAAAAATTACGATAACACGGCGTTAGGGACAGCCAATTAATATACGCTACAGATCTTAATATATTTTCCGGTATTTCATGTTATTTGTGTAATTTTATTCACGTGGACAGCAAATTTTAAATTAACGAATTGAAATGATCAACGTTTGGATTTCCAGTAATTAATTTTTAACTTAGATTAAAATGACCAAGTTTTATCTATACTTGAACCTCTTATCATAGTTTCACTAATTTGAAAAACATCAAAAGCATAATTAAGCTTACTATTATTATTATTACACACAATTTTAATATGATAAATATAAATCATAAAAATTATTACACAGTGATTTATTATTTTACGCAAATTATATTTTTGGTATAATGGCAAAACAATAACTATTTTTATAGTAAATAACGATATAAGTATATAATGATAATAAAATATTTACGCACGATGAAAATATTGCAAATTTAAATGTACTATTATAAAAAAAAACTTAATTGCTGCATTTAATGAACTCTTATCTGCTTTTTGACTATTTATAAACTACCTGAAATATTTTTCAATCCCTGGACCGGTCACATATACACACATTTTTATGAATCATCGACGAGTATACTTGGAGTTCATAAATATTGTGTACAGAACAGAATAATGTTCAATACGAACCACTATTATTGGAATTATATTTCTAATAATCTGAATTTTAATTAATTATAAAACACTTTACCATTAGTTTACAACACTAAATCGTTGTAAATCATCGAAAAAATATTATTTAACCCAAAGAAATATAGTTGACAAACAACTTTAGCCACACACGTATCACAAAAGTGTTTGTTAAAAATTAGAAGTAAACGAAATTTGTGCGAATATTATTAGTAATGTGTGTCTATAGAGTAAGGTCCTTTTAAGATCACTAACGAGAAAAAAGCTACAAGTAGGTATCAAAGAAAAAAGTAACATGAAATAAACAAACGTATTGTTCTTAGGTACAGACTGACTTAAAAGTCATTATTTCGTATAGGCAAGGAAATCAGAACGTTTCAAAGAAATAAAAAATAAAATACTGCGGTAAAAACAAACATAAAACACAATGCTTTAAAAGTTATATTTTTTTTTCGTGTAAAACATACATTTGATTCGAAAAAAAAACTCACCTAATAAGTAATATTTAATCAACTATACCAGTGGTTAGAATAAAATTCCAAGCATAGGTTACCAGAAGCAACAATGATATATTCTATTATTCTATTAGTTAATTAAACATTTACTAATACTTAATTAGAAATGTCAAATAGCCCGCAAATGAGTTTATTTGGGACGCACGAAGAACAAACTCAATTTTAATGCGAATCCCGGGATACCGATTTCTAATGAACAAGGGTCCGACCGATACTTTTAGTTACGGTTGTATATAAACACCTTGTTTTTAAACAATGTAAACATAAAAATTCGAGTTTCAATATAAAAAAAAAAAAAAAACCAAAAACCAAATATATATATAAAGACTGGAAGTTTAAATTTCGTAAGTGTGTTTACCCATAAAAGTTGTTTTGAGCGTGATGTTAAAAATTATACATTTTTAAAAAGCGTGCACTTCATTGTTATTTCATTAGTGGATAAAGTAAATATTACGAACTAAACATATAACGCCGTAGTGGTAGTACACACTACCTTGACAAATAATATGCGTTAAATTTAACATAAAACTTTACGCTTGTATAGATTTTTAAAATACTACCAAGAAGAGCACCGAAAGAAACGAGAGTACACTCACAAATAGAAGAAACGCTCGTTAAAAATCGTTTTCAAAGGCAACGAGAAGCAGAAAGAATAAGGGGAAAAAATGTATTTAACTTCCGTGAATTCTTTACCCTTGGTCTTTCTTTCATTTCTCTTATGATTTGTTGTTATATTTTACATTTAAATAGTGACCATTTAACCTGGAATTATTCATTCCTTGAAACATTTAGATCTTTTTATTTATTATTATTATTATTATTATTATTATTATTTTTTTACTCGATTAAATTTCCTGATATTTTTTTTTTGTATTTCTGTGAATTGAAAAAAAAAATATGAACTAATATCATAAACAATGATTATTAACTCATTCACAAAATCAGCGCAACTGAATGAACCTAAGTGTTCAGAAATCAAATTATTAAAATAATGGTTATAACTTCAAAATTAAAGAAAAATATTTATACAACACCTATATGATTTACTATTTGCACGAATACAGAACAAAGAATAATAACTGCCCCTTTGGTGTTGTGATATTGAATTTCAATAGCGCTATTCGTGATAAGTTATCAATAAAAATAATTATTCTTCGAAATCGTAAAAATATTTGAAATTAAGAAGACGATTTACTAGCATGTTTTGTCGTCTATATCTTATTATATTTGTGTTATTTGTTTAAATATTAGCGAATCGACCTATTATAAAACTTAGAGGTAAAGACATTATTCATTTATGCTCATAGATACTCAATAAGATTAATCAGATAATATATTTTATTCTTTTAATTTAGACAATAAAATCGATTTACTCTAATTTTTATACTAACTGCACATGATTAGAAGTTAGAACGATTGAATGAAAATTTGTTATATTGTCGATTTATAAGACACAAACAACACATGTGACGCTGCTTAATCTTAATATTATACGTAGGCAGTAGCAAGAAGTTATTTATGAAAATAAACTATTATTGAAACTTTTAAAGAATATATATACTTTATTTGGAACTGTAATTTTAGTAGTAACATAAGATTGGTCATTTTTATTTTATATTTTTTGTCCTTTAAAACTCATGAAATATTTGTAATTCGAAATTTTTATCAGTAACATAATTTTAGCATATATTTAAACTGACTGTTATTTTTACACTTTTTAAATATAATAGTTATTTATTAGATTTCACCTAAAATTCGTTCGACTTATTTCTTTAATTTTAATTTTTGATTATTGTCAACAGTCAGTTGTCTTAACAACTTGGAACATTGTAATGCATTCAATAGACAATTTAGCTCCAGTAAAAATTGTTTCTTGATCAACCTGAATATTCTGATATTATTGCTGTGTGTTTATATGGTTTGAAAAACAGTGTTTAAACAACTATAAAACACTGTAACTCAATATTATGTTTCATAATATGCTACACGTTACGTGGTTCAAAATACAAGTAAATATTAATTAATGATATCGATTTCGACGATTCGGGGTAAAATCTCTATTCGCTTGATATGTTTTACTTTTTATTCAATTTAATTGAATAGTGAGAACATATAATAAGTAACCGCGTACATTTTGATTTGTGAATAAAAAAATTACGAAAAAAAAATTTTTTTTTTTGATATTTATATAATATTTTGTTTCTATACATTGAATTATCAAATAAGAAGATACACAAATGTATACATTTTTTTTTTTTTTTTATTTGTGTACATTTAAAAGCAATGAATACAGTATATTATATAAAATGTTTATAAAGATACTCACGATATTTCACCAAAAGGTGCGAAAGCTTCTCGTAATGTTTGCGTCTCGATTTCAGGACTCAGGTCACCAACAAAAATGTGATGGTGTTCTGTAAACAAAAAAAATATCCATACAAGGTAAATATAACGTTGATATGATATGTCAGATATTCCACTGCATAATAAATAATAATAATAATAGTAATAATACAAAACATTGACAGAAAAAAAATAAATAATAGGTTTTGTTTATTTTTATACATATCTTAGCCAACCAGACATCTAAATCGTTTTATCACTGAGAACTCTTATCTGCTAACTGTAGATAACCGTAGAAAAAAATGAAACATACAATGGTTACGTTCAATTTATAGAAAACTAGAAAAAATTAAGATTAAATAAAAATCTGTGAGTGATATTTAAATATATTTAGCTTTTTTCTCGAGTAGCATATGTCGAATGAAATTCTAACAACACACCACAAACACACGTATTTATAGCACATATATATCTTAGTTATATTAGTTCATATATCTTTTATGGTCTGACAGAAACTCGAGACAACCTAGTCTAATCGGTTCGGTTGAAAACACATTTGGCCCGTGTGTATTTTTCGACCGTTTATTTACGGATTGCCGGTCAACGGCTAAATATTACGTTTTAATTGAAAAAAAACTCTTTTTCCAAGTACGAAAACTATCATCTACCTCGTTTCTGCCCCACATCGCTGTCGGTGTTATTTCGCCTACAAGGTATAGAGGTAGGTATATATAAGATCGTCTCGTGTGTTTACTTTTGAGTCTGTTTGTTCCCAAAGCACATACGAGCGTGTGTAAACAAGTTATTTCTGCCTGCAAAAGTTTAACTAAATACTTGTAACTTACACACACGTACTATACTAAAGAAAAAAAAAGGTCAAAACTATTTACATTTGTTTTCATGTAATAATAATTATCATTGTCGTCAATTCATAGCTTGTTTCCTCCTAATCAAAAAAATCACGTGTTATATCGGTTTTCGGTTTTCGATTTTATTTTTTTTTTATTAATACTTCATTTTTACGTAGTCATATTACGTAGGGTAATTTAACTTCAAACCGTTTATGCATAACTTAGCTGGAAACTATAGGTATAGGTTTATATTTTACAATTTAAAATTAATTTAATCATTTATATCAAATGACGAGGTTAAAAACACCAAACATGAAAAAACTAAAATACTCTTCAACAACATATTTGGTTGAAAATACTTTGTGGAATTTGGGGTGTTGAAAGAAAGTATTTTTTCGCTTGCTCTGTGCAAAAAAACAAGACAAAATCTAGTTACCAAAGTATTAAACATTCGTGTGCAAAAGCTCATATTAAAATTCTGAAAGAACTTATTCGCATTCCCAGCAACAACGTTTAAACCTTTTCTGTTTTGTGAAACAATAGGGGTTTTTTATCAAAGTTAAAAACAGACATTTTTGTTTGACTGGTAAAATTAAAATAGAAAAAAAAGAAGAAAAAAGTAAAATGTCAGTAAATTGAGTAAATGCAATAGCGACATGCAATCATGTGGTCTTGCATGCACGCGCGTGCCTGAATTGCCTATCTCAACTGCCGTGTTAAATAAGTATAATTTTATTTTCTGAGAGCAATTATTTACATCTATCGAGTTTCACAATTTTAGCGTGGTCAATTAATATTATTATGATAATAGTTATTATTCAAAAACGATTTATTTGAGATATTTTATTTAGTTATTGTACGTCTTAACGGTGAGTTCGGAAACAGTAAGGCGTACAATGCACGTACAACGGCATTGACAGTTTAATAATAATAATAATAATAATAATAACAATAATAACATGATATCTGCATAAGTACCTGTACCAAATGCACTGTAGCTGTTAGTGACCTTGTTTGTGGCAATAAATGGAAAGGATAATATTGAACTACACGCGCTTACAGTTATAGCAATATCGCTTATGGTGGTGAGAGGGGTAGAATACACGCGTCATCATGACGGAACGGAGAGGAATGGTTTAGTATGGTGCTCGTGGTAGGCACGAGGACGAGGAGCAGATACGGCTCGTCGTGTGAACGCAAACGCAACATTGGTGGCAATAGCAGTAAGTGGATTTACGTGATCGGCAAGTGTAACTTGTGAATTTATATTATATATTCTTATATAATGTATATATATATATATATATATATATATATATAATGCAAAGTCAGGTGGATATACATGCATATACATTATACATGCTACTAAGAAATAGGGAAATTGTGGTAGCAGTGATGGTGGAGGTCGTAAAACAACAAAGAATTTATTATCTAGTTGATATACACGATTGGCAAGAGACGTTAACGGATGCGTGCGGTATGGTTATATATACATAACTATACCGTTATATATATATATATGTAAGTAGAGTTTTATATTAATATTATATATATATATATATATATATATATATATATATATATATTATCAATAAATAAATAAAAGAAATACGCTTGCTTCTTTCAAAAAAAAAAAAATAAAACAACTATCGGTGATCGTCTAAACAAAAATGGGTTGGAAGTTTAAAAACTAAGCAGTATTCGTCGTAATAATATTAAATAGTTACTTTATATTATATTATAATAATATTATTTCACCCATTTACTACAAGCATTTTTCTCGTCAAAAGAAACTAGGGCATTGTGCACAACTTCGTTTGTGATGATTATTGGAATCGTGCCAATAGTCAATGCGATTTGAATCGGCCGCTAAAAAATGATGCAGACAGAATACCAAGCTCTTGGCACCGCGGCTTCAAATAATTCATATTTTATAATGGTTATTTTAATTTAGGTTACCACCAGATTAAAGACGTGAAAAAATATCGAAAGTCGTTATAATTATGTTATAAGTTTACGTATAAAACAAATAAGCCGAAAATCGATATTCGAATTCAAAATTAATGTTCACCTTGCCTCTTCATGATAACCAGAAAATTATTATATTTATGGTATTATTATATTTATTTAATTGTTAAATTGTCTTATCGTAATAATTGTCACTATAGCACAGACGAACGCAACAAGTCTTTTAAAAAATTCTATTCACACTTTAGCCAAGATCGACGAGGTTCGGCGTTTATCGGCTGTTTAAACTGTAGTTGTATAATATTAAATATATATAAATAATAGTTATGTATTTATTATAGTTTTGTTAATCTACAAAAAAACTCTAAGAGCATTATAGAAGCAATAGAGATTTACAATATTATCGGCTGATATTTTCTTTCGTTTAGATAGGTGGTAGTAATAATCAAAACAAATGCACCGTTTATTTCACGCTAAATCCTAGTCGTATATGGGTTTAAATGAGTGTGGCATGAGTGCCGTTAACTTAATCGCACTTGACCACTGTTAAAAGTTTCTCCTGTGCTTTAAAAGCTGAACTATGTCGAGGTTTCCAGCTTTCGTGAAACGGCAATGGCTGAGTTGATTTTCATGCATAAAACGTCGTTGGTGTGAAATTTCGTCGACGCCATCGATAAGACACCTCCCAATAAAATAACTATTTTCACAACTAATAGCTTGATGTTTCTATAGAACATAATTAGTTCCAAGATAGAAACGATTATAGTTATGGATTGCGAGAGTCAGAGAGAAGAAGAGTAACTTATACGCTTTGCTGGATTCGATCGAAACAAACATGTCCGCGAATGGTGACGTAGGTGTCGATACAGTAAAAAAATGTATAATACGACTCATACATATAATATATAAAGAGATTTTCCATTTGACAGATATTGCATGTTTTTTTTTAGTGTCCGGTGCGCATATGCATTTTATATGAATTCACGTAGAATGCAACGCGAGGTTTCCGGTCGCCCGAGACAATAATAAATCACACGGACGGTCGATGTTTTTTTTTTTTTTTTAAACAAGTATAGACTAAAATAAAAAAAAATATATATAACGTATACGGCATTTTAAAATACGTGTACAATAATGTATACACATAATATATTGTACGATACGCGAGAAAACAAAACGTGAAAAGAGGTCGTAAATTATCGGTGTTATTATACGGCCACCAGCAGCAGGAGCATTATTGTAGCTATACGCCATGATCACATTTAACACACAAAACCGGCCTTTGTCGAATGAGGCCGCGACTGCATGTAAAGCCGACTACCTCACCACTAAATGCACTTCCAGTTATATTATTATTATTATTATTATTATTATTATATTGTCTTATCGGCGCACTTGTTTAAATCAACGTGTTATTATCACGCAGTCATTGGTGCATTTCCTAACCGCACCACACTTCGCCACCACCCTTTATAATAGTAGTAATACAGCAGTGCACATTAAAATGTGTATAATAAGATATCATGTGCAATCTACGCCCTTCTCTGCAACTGCACTGTTCTATGCACGTGTATTTAAGCTAGCCACGTATACTATATATTATTATAAATACAACGGGAATTAACGACGGGGGTGGAAGCGGCGGCAATGATTATAATATCATGTACCTAGGTACAATGATATTATATAACTACTGCGGAACGGCAACGCGTATACACCGTAAAGTTGTTGACCCTTTCCTTCCATACGTATATGTATGTGTATAGGGGGTTAATTTTACTGCATAATCAAAGGGGTTACTCGCACGATCTCGGCAGCCAAGGCAATTAACTGATTTATTATTCAAATATTATGCATGCGAATAGCTTCGGTGCAGCAACCTACTCGCGATGACCAGAGCGAATATTATTATAATATTGTGTACAGGAAATAATATTGTACGTGAAATCTATATAACACACAAAAAACACACACATATACACACTTGTACCTAAATTGTGTATTTTTATCAGGGGAGTGTTTGATTTGTGAGCGTATACATATTTAAAAAGTTTTAATATTTTGATTTTCACAAAACACCGATAGAATTCTGTATGAAACAATGGAGCAAATCATGGTCGTTGATGATTTATCGTGCATTTGTACAATACCGATTTTCTTATAGTAACATATAAACGCTAATTGTATGTTTGTTTTTTTGAAAATCGTTTTTCAGGGAAAATGTTAAGATTCAATTTTTTCCTATAGATTAT